ATAATAATAATAATAATAATACATGTAATCTATTATATAAAAGTGGACTTGGGAGGCTTAGTGTACAAACTCCTCCCTTATTACCTAACCCACACCTTTGGAACTTTGCACGCGGCCACAGCATCCACGTGGCAAGGACCTAACTTCAAAAAATCCACGCAAACTGCTTTCTCCGATTTTTCCAAAATGCTTTGTTTCGTTTACACAGAGTTCTAGGCCTGCTAACTTACGATCAACAATTTCGCAGCCTCCTTTTAAAAAAAAAAACGGAAGTGAGGTTTCCGTTCACTAGCCGCGTGTATTGGTTTCACACCTTTGAAATTCTTGAGTGCACAACCACAAAAGAGGAATAGAGAATCAATATACATCTGTGTTATATATTTGGCAACTTGGAAACACTTGAATATGTCACTTTTCTCTCAAGATTTATTGCTCAATTTCAGTAGAGTGTAAATATAGTAGGCCAATGACTTTCAGTTGATGTTAATGCACCGATCATTCCTTTCATCGATAGGGTGCCCAACTAGTAGTAAAATACAACCTTAACAGAATCAATTCAAAAATCAATTATACAATAGACATACAGTTAATTAACACGCTGACCAGAAATCCAAAACTGTGCACAAAGGATGCGCGCGCGCGTGTTTATGTGAGTTTGTGTGTGTGTGTTTATGTGTGTGTGTGTGTGTGTGTGTGTGTGTGTGTGTGTGTGTTTGTGTGTGCGTGTGTGTTTGCACAACGGTGACAAGCCGGAAATATTTTTTTTTCCATATTATTTCTTTGGCCTTTTGTTCATGGGCAATTTCATGTAAGTTTGGGGCAAAATGACGTTCTAATTTGTTCTGAAGTGAACTCCATTTTCGTTCACGCTTTACCTCCCTTCTTTATGGGTGTGTTTTCTCCTCTTTACAAAAAAAATCATATCATGCCTATTTTCACTTAGATTGCTTTCATTTAAACAAGATAAGGAGGGGGATGAAAAGAATGGTAGTGTGGGAGGAGGAGAAGGAGAAGATCGGAGGAGGGAGAGAAGAATGGGGTGGTGAAAGAAGGCGGTGGAGAAGGAGGAAGAGAAGTAGTTGTGATAGAGAGAGGGGGGAGGGGAGATTGACGTGGGCCTCTTCCGTATTTTGGCTGAGAGCTTGTACGTAGCGATCTCGAACTACCATCGACACAAAGCTATAATAGACCGACGTCCAGAAGAAGGACTGGCGTCCCTGTCTCCGGTCGACCTGAGTGTCTCTTGTACTTTGCGAAAAGAATGACTCACGTCTCGAGACTTGTTAAGAACAGATTATTCCTCTCTTATGTCCTCACTTTTGTTCAGCGGAAAATTGCACCTCATGGGCCTGGGGCGGGGGTGGGGTAAGGTGGGCAGGTGGGTGGTGTGGTAGCGGAAAGGCAACAGTTATTTAGAGATTTTTGATTGTTTATTTTGTGTGTGTGTGTGTGTGTGTGTGTGTGTGTGTGTGTGTGTGTGTGTGTTGTGTGTGTTTGTGTGTTTTGTTGTGCGTGTGTTTGTTTGTTTATTTGTGTTAGTGAGTGGTTAAGTGGGTGGATTGTGGGGTGGACTGATGGGGGTGAGCTGGTCGGAGTTGGATCTGATGTGTACACACGATGTATGAGGTTCGGGCGAGGGTAGGGTCGTAGTGTAGTGTTGGTGTGTGGCTAGAGGGGG